AGACACACAGAGATGGAAAGTAAAGGGATGGAAAAAGTTATTTCATGAAAATGAAAATTAAAAATCAAACAAACAAAAACTTGGGTAACAATACTTATACCAGACAAAATACACTTTAAAACAAAGTTTATAACAAGAGACAAAGAAGGACCCAGTGATCCCACTTCCTGTTTTTTATCTGAGGAAACCCAAAACGCTACTTCAAGAGGATGTGTGCATTGCAGCATTGTTTAGAATGGCCAAGATGTGGAGGTAGCCTGGGTGTCCGTCAATGGAAGAGGAGGCAGTACATATATACAATGGAAAATTGCTCGGCCATGAAAGGGAATGGGTTCTTGCCCTCTATGGCTGCATGGATGGACCTGGAAGGTACTGTGCTGAGTGGAGTGTCAGACAAAGACAGCTGCAATGTGATTTTGCTTATATATGGAATCTAAGGAACAGAATAAACAAAAAAGAACAGAAACAAACTCATAGAGATAAAAAAACAGTTTGATGGTTAGTAGATGAGAGGGGGGTTGGAGGTGTGGGCAAAAAGGGGAAAGGGATTTAGAAGTACAAATTGGTTCTTAAAAAGTATTGAGTTGTCAGAAAAGTCATGACGTATTTTTTCTATGGTTTTCATTGCAAAAATGCGTCATGACTTTTCCAACAACCCAATAGTTATGGGGATGTAGGGTATAGCATAAGGAATATAAACAATAATATTGTAATAGCTATGTATGGTGTCAAGGGGTACTAGATTTGTTGGGGTGATAGATGGCAGGGGGTTGAGGAACAGGGTGAAAAAGATGAAGGGATTAAAAAATAGAAATTAGCAGTTACAAAATAGTCATGAGAATGTAAAGTACAGCATAAGGAATATAGTCAATGATATGAAAATAACTATGTATAGTGCCAGGTGGGTACTAGACTAGTCAGGGGGATCACTTCTTAAATTATATAACTGTCTAACCACCATGCTACACACCTGAAATTAATATAAATATTATAATTGAATGTCAATTATAATTGAAAATTTTAAAATGGGGGGAAAGGGGAAGGGGAATAAGAGGTTCAAATTTCCAGGTATAAAACAAATTAGTCATGGGGATATAATGTACAGCATGGGGAATATAGTCAATAATATTGTGATAGCATGGTTCAGTGTCAGAGGGTTGCTGGACTTATCATGGTGATCACTTCTGTAGGTCTATAAATGTTGAATAACTATAGTCTACACCTGAAACTAATGTCATATTATATGTTAGCTATATTTTTAATAAAAATCTTTCAAAAGAGAGAGAGAGAGAGAGAGATTTGGGGAATCTAGGGGAATGATACATGGGATTTCTTGCATTTTACAAGGTCCGACAATTAAATTCGTGAACTTGTTGTAACAATGTTGCTAACTTTTTTTTTAATATCAGAGGAATTATTCATTATGAATTTGTACCAACTGGACAATTAACCAAGTTTACTATTTGGAAGTGCTAAAAAGGCTGTGTGAAAAAGTTAGACGACCTGAACTTTTTGCCAACAATTCATGGCTCTTGCATCACAACAATGCGCCAGCTCACATGGCACTGTCTGTAAGGGAGTTTTTAGCCTATAAACAAATAATTGTATTGGAACACTCTCCCTACTCACCTGATTTGGCCCCCAATGACTTCTTTCTTTACGGAAAGATAAAGGAAATATTGAAAGGAAGACATTTTGATGACATTCAGGACATCAAGGGTAATACGACAGCTCTGATGGTCATTCCAGAAAAAAAGAGTTCCAAAATTGCTTTGAAGGGTAGACTAGGCGCTGTTGTTGGTGCACAGCTTCCCAAGGAGAGTACTTCGAAGGTGACCGTAGTGATATTCAGCAATGAGGTATATAGCACTTTTTCTAGGATGAGTTCATGAACTTAATTATCCAACCTTGTATATATAGTCTAGTTTTGACCTAACAACATTATCTCATAATATCTCATAATATTCCTCATGCATTCCCTTGCAATGCATATTCTAATAAAATTAAATGCACTCTATTTCCCACTTGAAAGCCCTTGAAGTTATAGAAGCCCCAAGGCCATTGCAGCCCACACAGTCTCCATCTATTCTCTACTAAACCTTGTTATCATCATCAGAAAAAACAAACACTATCATTTTTCATCTTCCTGGCTGGTCCTCTCCCACTTCATCCTTGCATAGCCAGGTAAAAAGGGGAGAGCTCACATTAGACCTGTGTCGGGGGCCATCTTTTGCCCATTGCTCCTCTAGTTAGGGGCTGGGGAGGAAATCCCTAAATATACTGCAAAAGGAAGGCTGTGCTCTAGCAGGCATGGTGTGTGTTGGGCACAGGGGAGCAGAGGTCTGCTGTACACAGCAAGGGACCTTTGCAGGTAGGACCTTTATAAGGCAGGGACAACCTGTCACATCCCTAATATACAATCCATATTTCTGTCCACATGCTAAGAGAGTCACAGGAGTTTCTTTCGTAAACATTGCTGTGAATCAGACCAAGTGGGAGAGCAGAAGACACAGGAGATAAGAGACAGAGGGCTCTCCCAGGGAAAGTAGCAGAGAGGACTTATTAGATGAGTGGAAGGAAAGTACATGGAGAGAAGCCCAGTGTGGTCAGTGCCTGATCAGCGCCGGCCTCATCAGGGCCAGAGAGTAAGGCATGGCCTCCTGAAAAATAAGCAAAGCACCTAAGTTATAAGGCCCCTGGCACAGAAATGGGCACCCAACTTGCTGGATGTCAACAATCCTGGGTCAGCTGGGATGATTTATTTAGGTAGGGTGCCTGAGGAAGAGGCAGGCTCAACTAACTTATAGCCTCTATGATTCATTTCCTGGAAGGGGCATAAAAAATTAAAAAAATTTAAAAAGCAACAGAATATAACTCCACTGGCCGAAGATATAAAACATCTGCATGGCTGATTAAACCTCAGGGTTTTTTTGTTCATTTGTTTGTTCTGGACACTACTGGAGATGGATTGAGATGATAGAGAGAGAGAGAGAGATGTATTTTTTCGAGAGGGAAATGACCCCTTCTGTTCTTTGAAAACAGATAAAGATCTAATTTGCGGTTTAAAACATTTTTTCTTTCCTGAGAGTTTATATCGTTTCAGAAGAATAGAGCCAAGGGTGAAGCTGTTGTTGTGTGGCTTGCAGAGTGAAATGCCTATTTTTGAGTCAGAACCCTGCAGGTTGAGCATTCACATTGTGTAGAAGGGGTGTAGGCGGCAACACAACAGACCCTGGGTATGAGGAACAGGCAGTGACTGTGTGGCTTCCAGCGGAGCAGAGTGGGTGGCAGCCCATAGAGTGAGTCCCCGGTCTCCCCACACCCCACCACGAGGCGGTCCTGCCTCCAATCTGGCCTGAAATCCTAGCTCTGAAAGGCTTGCCTTGGTCTTAGAGGAGCCCCTGCTCTACAGAGCCTCCCTCAAGAGGAGAGGGGACATGTGGCCTCTCCCTCCTGGCCAGGTGCCAGGTTCTGAGGGAAGGGGGACAGCGAATACCACAGATGGAGGCTTCTACATGGCATTTGTGCAGGCCCCACATTGAGAGGCTGGAGGAAGCATGCGGTATCAGGAACCTTAGGGGGTGCTGAAAGAGAGTGGGGTGGCTTCCCTGCAATAGGCTGTGTGGACTGTCTGTCTGAGGCACTTGTGTCCCAGCCCACTGTCATGGTGGATATGTATATCAAACAAATGGACTGAAAAGGCCTCTCCAGGACTCTGCGGAGACAAGAACAGCCCCTCAGGTCTCTTCTCCCTCACTCTGTCACCTAAGAACAGACAGGAAGCAGTGTGCTCCCAGGCACAAACCCCAGCTGGCTGGTCATCATGCCCGATGGTGTGGCAGTCAGGAGGTGGCTCCCACTGGCACAAAGTACCACTCACTTAGAGTTATTTTAAGTAAAGTAAAATGCTGACAACAGGTTTCCAACTAATGAGAGAGTAGCAGGATTTTTCCCAGGACTTTATCCCACAGTTAGAGATTAGGCCTGAAAATAAGGTTGTTATGGAACTAAGGGGCCTGTTTTCTAGAAGGTGATATTTTAGAAGCAGGCAGAACAAATCATCCTGATAATACAGTTGACCCTTGAACAAGGTGGGGGTTAGGGGCATCAACTCCCACGCAGTCGAAAATCCACGTATAACTGTTGACTTCCCCAAACTTAACTACAGTCCCTTGGTATTGGTGGGGAATTGGTTCCAAAACCCCCAGCAGATATCAAAATCCATGGCTGCTCCAAGTCCCTTATATAAAATGTCGTAGAGCACTGCATACAGTCGGCCCTTCGCATCTGGGTTGGCTGAATCCACAGATGCAAAACCCCCAGCATGCTTGCAATTCCTAGACTAAACTATAGAGAGATTTATTGATGTGTCTCTAATAAAGATTCTCTTGATGTGTTTCCTAACTTACTGGAAACAGAAGTCCTGAAAACCAAGCCAAAAAGTAAGTTCAAGGTATTTGGGGCTAAACTTGGTGAGAAAGCAATTGCATACTTTAGATAAGTGCTCAAATTTTAGAGTTCTTATTTATAACAAAAGAAAATAATGAAGCTACCTTCTTTATCACTAATGAGAAAAAAATTCAAAAATAATTTATAATAAGCATAAGATTCTTTCACCCAGAGAACTAGAGTAAATCATCTAATTTTATAGCTGGACGTGTATTTTCCAAACTTCTCCATTTTACAGATGAGGAAACTAAGATACTGTTTCAATAAGTGGGTTTTACTGTGGGGCGGGGTGAGGGACCAAATCGTGTGTCAAAGTGCACAGTGGAAGTAGGATATGGACGTGTTACTGCTAGCATGGTGACACTCCTGTGACACAAACACTATCTGCACATTGTTTTACAAAATCTTAGCCATTTGTGGGCTATAAGACTCAATGCAAGAGTTTTGAGGGACCACAGAGAATTGCCAGAATATATTTTACGAATAGCTATGAAGTTATTGATGACTATGAGAAAGGAAGGAAGCATCAAAGAGCCAACCTTTCAACCAACCTTTTCTCCAACCATGGGAGGTAAGCAGAGCCTTCACATTTCAGGGTCGTAAAAGCTTGACCAAACACATGCTGAGGGAATTTCTTCAGCTCAACCTCGGTCATCTTTCGAAATCCAAGAACCACGTCAGCCCAGAATGGTGCTTCCTCAGTAGGAATGTTCTGAAATATCTGCCAACTCAAACATATTAGGTGGAAAAATTTCCTGAAATTTTGCGAAACAACACATTTCTAGTGAACCCCATGTGACATTCTCTAAAGCATTGAAAAATCACACTTCCTATTCACACAAAGAGAAAAGGATCTATTCATCCATTCTCTTGGGTTCAGATAACTCAGTAGCTAAATTTAAAATGTTCATGATTGGGGGGAATAAGACATTTAAAAGGTAGTGTGTCTTTTAAATATTCAATTTAAGTCTCTTTTTCTAAAAAGCTCCTGCCTAGATTGTCTTTATTTATTGTACTTATGACTATATATATTTGAGAAAAGCTTTTTCTGTTTTGCAGAATGCTTCACATAAATTATAAGCAAACCATCAAAAGTTTAAAGGTTGGCCTCAATTCTGAACAACATATCTAAACTGGAAAAAGCAATGGTGGGAGTAAAGGAGGTAAATTATAAGTTAAGTTGTAGGTCATCCCCTGTAGCACTTGATAGGAGAAGCCAAGAGTTATCAGAAGGAGCCCTGTTATTGTTAAGTCACGGTTAGGGGTGGATGAGGCTGGAATGATATTGGTTGTTAACAAGAAGCCTGTAATAGCGCTACCAATAGCTACTAGGCATATGTTTGGATTTAGAAGTATTGGATTGTTTTCATTGTTCATGTTGTAAATCATGGCTGCTCTAAAATAGCAAGCAAGCCTTTTGAGCTTCCTTTGCTCCGCCCACTCCAAACTCTTTGGAGTCTACTTTCTTTTCTAAGAATGGCCCTTAAGACATTCTTTACTGCTTGGGCCTGCTTCTGCGTTTTTGAAATGTATTTTTACTTCTAATAAGTTCCTTTTCTGCAACTTAAAAAAAATAATTAAATAAATAAATAAAATAAAATAGCAAGGAAAATCATTTGGGTGCTGTACACGGTTGCTAATGAGGCGGTCATTAACGTACCAGAATTTATATCTCTAAGTAATTCATGCAAAGTGGTCTCCATAGGAGGTACAAATGTTGGCTGCTGCAGTACTTCACACTGGGCCCTCTTGCTGTCTCATTAGTCACACTCTCCCTGGACTAGACTGCCCTCTTCCATATCTTCACCATCATCTATAGGCCCCTCAGAAGCCTACTTCTCCAGCCCTCTCCTCTCTCCTGAGCTCCAAAACTAGATCCAGACCCAAGTTGCCTACTCCCTACTGGATGTCTACCTCCCTGTCTCCTACATTAGCACCAGCATGCTTCCCCTCTCCCTTCCCCCAGTCTTACCCAATTCAGAAAACGGTACCCCACCCACCCAGGGGCTAACTCCAGAATCCCAAGAATCACTCTTGACTCTCTCTCCTTTCTCACCCCTACGTGTCATCAACTATCAGGTCCCATCACACTTTCTCTTAAGCACTTCTACAATCCATCTACACTCTGTCCACGCTATCAACACCTAATCTATCTCACCACCATCTCTCTTTCTACAAATCTGTCTTCCACACTACAGATAGTATATTTTTCAAATGTAAATATAATCAGTTACTTCACTGTGTAAAATCCCTCAGGGGTTCCCATAACCCTAGAATTTTTCAACACACCACAGTCACCCGAGACTCAGGTTTATGCATGTGCTGGTCCCTCTACTTGGAATGCTGCCTCCTCTGTCCTAGACCCTGCCTCTGCCCCCTTCACCTCTACAATACCACCAGACTAACCTACACTCATTCAAATGGTCTCTGCTGAAACATTAATTTTTTCCCTGGTGGCTTCTCACAACTTCCCAGAGCTAATTTATTCTCCAGACATATGCTTCCATAGCACCCTGTATTCTTCCCTTGGTAACTCAAGTCTCAATTTTAACTCATTAGATTTAGGACATTCCCTACAGACCACAAGCTACATGAGGGCAGAACCATGTATGTCCTTCTCAAAAATTCACTCAACACATATTTATTGAGCATCTACTATATGCCAAGCAGTATGTACCAAATTGCTCATTTATATATCCCTAATACCTAGGAGAGTACTTGATACTGGTGAATGTTGAAAAACTGTTTTGAGGGGATAAATGGATAAATAAGGCTATATGCACAGGACATTGTGCCCTTGTCTTTGCTTGACTGATCCAAATCCTTTTTGGAAGCAAGTGGGATAAAAATCATTCATCTGAGAAAATAAATATCCCTCTTTAGAATAGCTTAAAGTACATTCTTTTTAATATCCTCAACGGTGGCCAAGTTTTACTCTTGAAAGGATATTTCAATTTTGGATATAACTGTTTCCAAAAATTACTTAGAGCCGAAGTTTGTGAATTAGACTGGGTCATGTTGGTTTTGTACAAAAACGAAGTGTGGCCATATATCAATGAGAACGATTTTTTTCTGTGTAACTCATCAGCTGCTTTGGAGAGATGTAACATCAATCCATCTTCAGAAGGTAGAAAAGTGAAGGTTGCTACTTTGGACAGGGACTTTGGGAAATTAATGATGTCAACATCATTTGATGTTTGTGATGATGAGAGAAGGCAAGATGAGGAAAAGGGTAGAAACCTGCTTGGTATAGGTATGTTCACCAGCAGAAAATGTCAGCAGCTGCCTGATCTCAAAAGAGGAGAGAGGACAGCTTTGCTTTGCTTTTTTTAGAAACAACACAAAAGATGCAGTGAACTTGAGAATTTAGCAAAAGGCACACATCCTTCTGCTCTTCAGAAGACTGTCGGGCATGACTGTGTTCTCACACAAGATAACACAGACGACGTACAGGCTATGTCAGAAAGTAAAAGGCATAAGTTGAGGGTGATACTGGTTAGTGATCTCTGTTTAAGAAGATATAGAAATATATTGTCACAGTTTAAGTGCTAATTTGTGTTAGAAATGTTACATAGGATTTATTTTTAAATTCTTTTGTTTAATGATGCATGCTCCTCAAATCAGAAATCAGGATCAAAAAGAAGTGTGCTAACCATTTCAGAGATAACTATAAGGTAACTATAGTGACCTACAAAATTTACTTTTTTGGAACATCTAATTCTCCAAGGACACTACATATATAAGATGTCCCTATATTTTGGATCTCTGCACCCATTCCAACATCACACCTGTTTGCTTTCCATCAGCCACATCATCCCCACATAACTCAAGCTCATTGCTTACCTGACATATTTTTTCAGCCATATTTGCAAATCACTGCATAACCCCTGAGGAAACTCAAAATAGTATTTGTGATGAGAAGCTGTAATGATTGTTTATTGTTAAAAAATCTAACACTATAATTTGTCTTTCTTGAATTCTTTGCAGTAAAGCCTAAAATATTCTAAATTCTCCTGCTTCTAGGTCAGCATTCTAGTCAGAGTAAATAATAATAGTTTATGTAAAATTCTAAAATCTGTTAAGATAATTCTAAATTCTAAAATAACTTCAGATTTCCTCTCTTACCCAGATATCAGATGAACACCAGCCTCTCCAGCTTCTGCAGAATTGGCAATTGCAAATAAGTGGTCAAACGTCTCTCTAAACCACTGCTTCTGCTTGTGAATGGGTGTTTCTGTAATCATGGAGAAAAGCAAAGTGGAACATAAAGGAAGATGATGATAATGACTATGCTCCAGATAAGCACCTTCCTAAAAACTGGCAAAAAGTAAAGACGTGAGGAGGAACATTTAGATAATGGACCGCACTGTGGCAGAGGATATATCAGCAACCAAAGTTTTGAATGTTGACACATGCTGTCAGCATCCATTCATATCATGATTAATCGACAGAGGGGAAACCAACAAATCAGGGCAAGATCTGACATGTGAGCCAGCTGGCAGGTGGTTTGAGGCACCAGGTATATTCCAGAGGTCTTCGAAGGGTCCATAACCAATCTGAGCAAAAGTTAGTTCATGGCTGAGGCATCCAGCTGGCCATACAGTAGAAACAATAGGAGAAAGAACTCAGGGCCTTTTTCCTGGGGGCTGAAAACATGGTGGATGACAAGGGGAGATCTGTGGGGCCCAGGTCCGCCAGGACAGAGGATACACTGCACATCAATGGGAAGCCCATGGAGCTCACCCTCCTGGTACAAGGAAACAAGGCCTGCGTTGCAGAGGTTAGCTCCTTGGGAAGGGCTCCCTGCAGCCCCAGCCATTACCTCCAGCCCCCTCCACTCCATGGAACCATGGACCAGCATAGAATAGCATTTCTAAGGTCAGCAGAGATGTGCAGGGACCACACCAGGCACTACCTGTCGGTCAGAGTCCTGTGGGCCAGTGCTCTCTATTTCCCGGGCATCCCTGCCAGAGCTCAAGATATTGGACCTGGACTCAGCTTCTAGAAGGGTACCAGTCCTGTCAGGGAGGAAATAAGGGTCAGGGCTCAAGCACCAAAATAAGAGTGTCTGCTGTAGGCACAGATAAATTCAACTGTGGGTGAAGTATTTGGCCGTCTGATTCCTGGGAAAGGTTCATGAGAGAGAGTCCAGGGTCAGGCCAGGAGTTGGAGAACAGTCATCTAAAGGGCTACTATGGCGGCAGCCACAGAGGAAATGAGGGAACGGAGGCAGAGAGGATGTTGAGTCAGCTCTGCTTGGAGAGACTTCCTGGAGTTCAAAGTAGAGGTGAACAGGCCCCTAGAGTCATCCTGCCCCCAGATCAATGAGGGCATTTCAGGGTTTAAAGCTTAAAAAGTCCATAAATAATTCTTTAGGAGTGGGTCTGGGCTGTCATCTTTAAACACGTGCCCATGTGAACTCAACACTGTATTCTAAAATTGCAGACTGGGGCCACTGGTAGAGACAAAAGGAAGAAATAAACAATAAGCTGCAAAGAAAACTAAATTAGACCTCTATGGATTGTACCCCAATAATCTAGGCCAGTGTATAGGGCTGTATTGAAATACATCCCTCTGTTCCCACCCCGAGCCTTAAAAACAAAACAGTGATGGAGATTCACATGCTACAGAAATCATCCCAAAAGAACAGACAATTCCAGTTCGACAGTGGGTAGAGCATGTCTGCTGACCTAATTCATGTTCAAGTGCTGGTAAAAGAAAATTGTAGCCAGAGTGATGGTAATAACAGTATCAGATGCTGATATAGTGCTTTCTGTGACCCAGGCACTGTTCTAAATGCGTTACATGTAATCTTCACATTTAATCTTCACAATAACCCTATAAGACCAGTATGGTCCCCATGAGGTGTTGACATTCATGAGTACAGAAGATATGTATATATACTGGGCTGGTCTGAAAGAGAGAAGGCCAGAGTCTTTATCTAGCAGCACCAGAGAGAAAGGCCCTGATCCAGGGCCCCCACCACCTGACCAGAGTGTGAGCTTGGGCCTCAGTGACCTGGATGAACTCTCAGATGATCCTCCTTTAAAGGTGATTATCCATGACTATCAGGCTACCTGTGGCCACTCACCTGGGCCTGGTGCAAGCAAAGGGGCTCCTAAAAAATGGACATAAGAACTCTGGTCACGAGAAAGGCACCCAGCGTAAAGCAGCATTATGCAAACACACCAGCCTCCTGTGCTTGTGGCAAGGCAGCTCCCAGAAGGTACACCAGCATTATAGGTTCTGATAAAGCCAATTTCCTGGACCTGCAATGCCAAGATATTCCCTCCTCATCCTAGCAAAAGATGGGTTTATTCTCTGTTAGGTAAAACAGGAGGGTGTCTGAACTGGGAAACACCACGTATAGGCAAAGACAGGGATGCCATGCTGAAAAGAGGGGGGTTAAGAAAACACATTCAAACCAGACACTTAGACCCCAGCCCTCTTCTTCCCCTGCCAGGTCTTCACCCTTACCAGCCAGGGGACTGGAGGCCTCTTCTCTGGCAAACATGACCTGCCCCAAAAGAAAGACTTAAACATACTGACATCAGAGGTTCCCGGACTAAACAGCTCTGACATCTCTCTCTAGTGAAGCTCAAGGCAACAAGCCCTATGCAAGCGCTCGGAAATTCCCACCAGCTGTTTAGCATCCTGCTCTTAACTGTTGGCAGACAGGTAAAAATGACCACATGGCCCAAGGAAAACCTGCAACATGAAAAATGAGAACAACCCACAAAACAACACAACTTGGAGACAACAAAAACTATACAAGGAGAAGAAACTTCTAAAGTTATTATCTTCAAAAGATAAGATATTGCAGCATAGAACACAAATAGGGTGTTATAGCAAAGGAAAAATTTAGAGAATAAAAAAGAGCTTTGGAATATTAAAAATGCTAGAGTAAAAACAAAAAAAAGTCACCAGCAAGGTAAAAGACAAAATGTGTAAAATCTCCCAGAAAGTAAAATAAAAAGAGAAAGAAGTAGAAATAGGAGGAGGTGGGGAAGCTAAAAGAATTGGAGTTCCAGCCCAGGAGGCCCAGCCTAATAGCAATTAGAGAGAGAGAGAGAGAGAGAGAGACATCAGGAGGGAGGAGTCAATAAATGAGTAACTCAAAACTGCTTGAAAGAGCATGAGTTTCCAGATTAAATGGACAGGGCAATGTTCACAGTCCATATTGCTGCTTTTTGTAATAAACTTTATAACCATTTGATTGTTTAAACTATGTGCATGTATAACTTTGACTAAAAATTATGACTAAAATTAAATGGGGAAAAAGAGAATGGAAATGAGAAGGTGAAAGGAAATAGTGACTATAAACCTCATCAGCTGCAAAGTGATTTTGGTGTCTAGTTAATGCTTTTTGCCTTCTCCAATTTCATGTGGAAAATACAGAATGGAAAGGATGCATAGCCTTGAAAAAAAAATCAATGCATCTGTAGCCCTGAATACATATTGACTGATTGTTTTTATACTGGCTGAGAAGTGAGGATGATTTTAGTCCAATTACATACAAGCCGTTTCTGACTTGACTGTCATTACTGGTTCAAATGGAAAGACTTAGCACTACCAGTTGTGGTACTCATTAGTGCTGTTCACCAAAGACTTCTGGCTCTTCACCTTCTGGGATCCTTACAGAATTGCACTTCCGGGCCTCTTTTTGAGGGGTGGGAGCGTTGGAAGCACTGGCCAATGAGCTGTCATCACACGTGATAAAAGTCACTCCTTGGCCAGGTCTTTTCATTGCAGAGGTGAGGCCCCCCCACCCCCCACCACCCAAGCTCTTTTTCCCCAGTCACAGATAATAAGGACATTCAAGACAGCAGCTGCTTCATCAGCTTAGGTCCCTGAGTCATGAGTAGATCCCTTATTAATACTCAATCAACATATACTGTGAGCACGAAATAAACCTTTGCTTTTTAAGCTGTTACGGTTGGAGGTTATTCTTGTCCTACAGCATAATTGAAACTTTCCTGACAGATGAACCAACAAGATATTAAAAGTGTACGTTACACTTACACGCACATCCAGCTGTCTTTGTCAACAGAATTCCACTAACATCATTCTCCCTAACATCTACCTCTGACAGAGGAGCAAAAATCCCTCTCACCTGGATAAGCATGGGGAATAAGGATTCCAGGTGCCACATCACTCGTGGTATCAGGACTGAACTTGTCGGAAATGACCGTGATGGAACATTGTGGGACCAGCTTGGAAATGCACAGGGCAGTGGAGAGCCCCATCACGCCTGCCCCCACAACGGCAATCCGGACTGTGTCCATGGGCCTGTGAGGAGAGAAGAGTCCAGCTGTCAGCCCTGTTTTAGGGATTCTTCTAGCCAGTGCCAAGTCTGGCCCTGAGGTCAGCAGCCTCTCAAGCTAAGACCTTGCCTGTCAGTGTTTCTCTTAGAATAAAGAGAGGTCTCTGTAAGCTCTCTTTCCATTAAGTGTCAGGGTATGAGCAATAAACTTTCGATGGAGTTCTAGACATCAATGCAAACCCGGCCTGTAGTTGCCTCTAGAACACATGACAGGTAACAGGTTTGCATTTGGGGGGAGATTTCTACTCACTCTGACCCCTTTCCTAAACGACTTTCACTGTGGGCACAACCTAGGCGGAGGTTGGTGAGGGGAGCAAGGTAGATGTGCGCTGCAAAAGCCTCCTGAGGAACAGTCACTGAGAGGACAGGATGCACGGGCAATTTAGAATTCAGCTTTACTGCCTACATGTTGGTTTCTAATTCTACCAACGTCACAGAAAGTATGAACGACTGAGCTCGCCATCTCCTCTCCTGGTCCTCTAACTGGAAACTAACTCTGCCCAACCCCTTCCCTGCCTCTGTCACTGCTTCCCCCATCCCCACATTCTCATGCTCACCCCTACCCTACACCTGAAACCCCACTCTCTACAAGCAGGCTTTTCAGGTAAGGAATCTGAATTCCTTGGTGGACCCAAGAGCTGACTCCATAACCTGGGGAGCAGCCCATGGTCTCCTGGCCTCGATTCCCTTGTCTGTAAACCAGGCCAGATGAATTCTTCTTAGCTCCTATGGGTGGTAAATAAGAGAGACCCACTGAGGTTGTCTCACAAAGAGGGCTCTTTCTGAGAATCTGTATGGAATGCAGGAGGCAAGCGTCCAAGAACTTGGCCTGGGCAGCCTGAGACTGGCACCCAGTGTGGGAACCAGAAGGTTGAGGAGGGCTCAGCACTCTCCCATCCCTCACCACTGAGCCCTGCTCCACAGTCAGGTGAGCCCTGCTCCACCATTGCTTCCTTGTTGTCTTTCCAGTTCTGATCCCACTCTCTAACTCTGTCTGTGGGTCTCAGGTTGAAACTCCAGAGAGAGAAAATGCAATTAGTCCAGTTGATCATTGCCATCCCTATCAGACAAAGTTTTAGCACCAGGCCAACTTATCGGGCTAAAACAGCCTGTAAATTGGCCCTTGGCATCAGCAATAAACAAGTCATGTGATACAAATCATGGCCACCTGCATGTAAAATTCCCCTTTCCTCAGGAGAAGTGGGAAGCTTCTTCTGTTGCTGTGAGCAGGGCATAGCTGGTAGGGCTCGGCTGGCAATGGTCTCTTCCAGCTCTGAAGGTCTCTGGCACTGTGATGTTTTAGTCCTCCAATGAGGTTTACTGGGTTGCTTTGGGTTTTTTTAGCTGAGCCATCCTGCCACCTGTTGGCAGCTCCATGGCAGCTCAGCTTGGGCCGGGCATTGAACCGCTGTTGCTCAGAGCTCACACTCTTGAGCGAGCTCTTAACCAACTGAGCCACTCGGCCAGCCCGGTTTCCTGCGTTTAATTTCTGTTTCTTAAATAGTACATTTCCTCAGCCATTAGTTAGTCTGACTGCTCCCCAATGGGCTGGCTAGCTAAAAAGGAGTAGGATTGCCAGAGCAGAGGAGAGAGAAGGGAAGAGTCCAAGGCAAGAAGTAGGCCAATGAAGCGGGCAAGCAGCCCTGCACGTGTCTCCTGGAGGCAGAAAGCAGCCACCTAATCCCTTACTGATTTGCCTATTTCACACCGGCCTCCCTGCCCAGCAACTTCCTCAAAATAGTTCTAATAAATTAAGTTGAAAGGGAAAGTAACCCATGGCTGAGAATAACCAGCTGCCAGGGAGAAGAAACGTGAGCCAGCAAGGTGGCTACAGCCTGGCCCAGGGACCTGTGAATCACTGTCACCTGATCCCATTAAGACATACCCCAAACTCCCGAACTACCGGAAGAATGACCCCCGAGCCACAAGCAAGAGGATTCCAGTACCTGTCTCTGCAAACGCAGCCTGGAACCCACAAAAGGCTCTGGCACCAACACTTGTTTTCCCAGTGAGTGGTTGGTCTAGTGCCCAGAGAGACAGAGGGAAAGCAAAACTGCTTCCCATTGGGGAAAGTATGAAGGACACTCCCTCTAATCTGACTCTCCATTGGCCCAAATGCCTGTGTCACTTATTCTCCTGGAGAAAGGAGACATTGACCTCATCTTGTAAGCTTCATGTAGCTGTGGCTCTGCCAAGCCCTGGGAGCGGGTCCGTTCTTGGCAGCTCTTCTCTTTCTAGTTTACAAACTCTCCATCTGGTCACCAGCCTCGGATTTCTCCAGTTGATTTGTAGGCATGGTAATAACGAGTGGACCTGTCCAACTCCCAGCAAGTTCTGAGCAGAAGCCAACCCTGGTTTCCTCATTTGGCTGCCCAGAGTTATCTACCCATCTCCCATTGGTGCCTGCCTCTGCTGGGTCAGCTGGGTGGAAGGGGGTGTGGGAGTGGGGAAGGGCAGAATAATGTTGTTGATCACTGAGATGGTGGCCTGATTGCAGTTGGAAAAATTATTTAGGAAATAATGTAGGATAAAAACAAATGAAGGAAACAAAAACCAAATGATTCTTTATCCCACATAGTCAAGTATTTGCTGAGTGTCCACCGTGTGGCAGATACTTTACAATCAACAAATTTGTTTATAGGGAAGCAGTTTGGTGTAACAAAATAATGATGATAATATTGTAACTAGTATGTATTTAGCCTTAACCATATACTAGACACTGCATGACACACTATAGCACAACCACCAAAATGAAGTAGGCATTATTGTTATCACCATTCTATAGATGAGTAAATTGGGGCTCCAAGAAAATAAGGTATGGCCCAAGGTTTCTTAAGTGGCAAAGCCCAGTCTGAATGTCAGTCTCCAAAGCTCAAGGTCTCCCCCAAAACACACGCTTCTGTGTGAGGAGATCTGTCTGTTTCACCTTGAGCAAATCACCTAACTTCTGAGTTTGTTTCCCCATTTGAAAACCGTGATTGAACTAAGATTTCTTTTACAAGGTGTTGTGAACATCTGCTGAGTTAAGATATGTAAAATTCTCTGTAAGGTGGTCTATATTTTTTATTGAACACCTACTATCAAGTCAATCAACAAACATTTGCTGAGTCATCACTCTGTCCAGGCCATGTTGCACGGACTACAAGAGATTTAAGAAGTTCTAAAATGATGTAATTTCCTTTGAGAAAGGAAACAAGGCAGGATAAGACAGTCCTCTAATAAGCAGCCCTGTAGGTGCTGTGAGGACCCAGGAGAGAGGGAGCATGGTGGACCCAAGTGGCCAGTCCAGGGGAGAGGATGGGAAATGAGGAAGGCTCCAAACAGTCAGTGAGACTGGATGGACAAAGACGAGGAAGATAGGAAATACTGGGAGGGAGAATGGTGTGAGCAAAGCTGCAGAGGCAGGAAGTTGAAAGAGCGCTGAGGAAATGGTGGGTGGCCACATGAGGAGGTAAGTGCGACAGCAGAGTGTGGAAAGTGCCAGAAATCCAGCTAGGATGGAGGACTGTATCTGAAAAGTCATGGGAGCCATGGAAGACGTTTGAGAGGGCTCCTTCTTCTCCCTGCCCAGGTCAGGACTCCACTTGCCTCTGACAGGAAGATGAGAAGGAAACATTTAGAAATGAAACCAAGCAAGCAAGCTGTGTATACAATACAGCTAATAGGTGTCTTATTTTCTGCTGCACAGAACTGCAGTGATATGATGTGAATGAGGGATGGTTCAGAAAACTGATAGGAAAACTGATTCAGGCGTCACTGAGGGTGAGAGTTAAAAGGAACCTCAAGGACCATCTTATGTTATCCTTTTACAGGTGAGTGGCTGAGCTCCAAAGAGTTGAAGTGATCTCCCTGAGACCACAGGCAAGCTCAGTGTCATACTCTTCCCCAACAATTTTTCAGAAACTTTTATCTTGGGCTCTGGAGGCGCCCAGAGCCTCACCTGTGCAGAGTAATGGTGGCCTCCCTGCCCACCTCTGCTCTGCATGGCTGTCAATGGCTCAGGATGTGTTAGCCTTGCTGGTGTGTTAGTCTGCTAGTAAATAAAGAGCCTCAAGCCAACGGCACTTGAATTCTTCAGGTTACTGAGAAAGCCAGGCTTTGGGGGCCAGGGACTCAGCAGTGTGTGGCTCCAGGTTGGTGCAAGGAAGCAGAGGAGGCGTTCAGGGCACTCAAGTCTCTGATACATCGGCGAGCCCTGTCGGTACACCGCGGTAGGGCAGAGTCTGAAACTGAACCCTTTCCTCCTAGTAAAATAAGACTTTCAGGACTTATTGGAACACCTCTGAAAATCTCTCAAGTTTGGTCTCTGACAGGGTAGGGAAGAGGCAGGGAATGAACAGTGAAAATGAATTTACTTAAGGAACTAGCAGTTGTCAGTAAATACTGGTACCACGTGGACTTGAGAGATAAAACGAACAGTTATTACTGACTTCTGGTAAATTCGGATAAGATATAAACATCCACTACTCCCAGACACTGTTGGACGCAGTTACCATAGGCTTTGGCTTCTGTAGTCAGCTTCACAATCTTACATGAAGGAATAGTCCTCTTCACCACCTACCAGAATATAAGTCCCCCTTTGCATATGCCATTGATAGGGGTGAGATAAAGGGGACAGGTAAGCCCCTCAGAACTGATCATTCAATTGAATACATTCAAAGTATATTTTTAATATGAACTTTCCTAACAACATACCTCTTAACAGAGATTCAGGGGAGGGGAGGTACAGGTTCAGCTTTTGTGGGGTCTGAAGTTTATACAGTTTTAAAAGTCAGAAGACATCAAATATTAACTAACAGGGAAAATCTAAATGACAGTAGGAAAACAGGCTAAGGATGAAGAAAAAAAGAAAAAGACAAAATAAGGGATGAGAGGAAGGATAAAGAAATGTCTTCCTCTTCTCATATCCTCTTGTTTTGTTTTGTTTTGTTTTACAAAAGGAAAAAGGCATTTGGTTTTACATTTTATTTAAAAGTGGAAAGACCAAGTGAAGAACTGAGTAACTATCCAGGGAAGTTAATTAATATGAAAACCCTAAATGATTCAGGTCAAATTACCCTTTTTTTCCCTTAGCAATGATTTTAAATAACAGCATCTATATAATTGTCTTAATCCTTATTTTACTTACCTCTGCAGGTAACACTAATACTTCATCAATTCTAACACACTGGACATAAGACATATCCAACAGCTAAATTTCAAAAGCAAAGAAAAAATAAGGAACTTTTGATGAAACCATAGTAAAGAAAATCCCAAAACCTACGGGAAATTTATCTGAAATGCATTCCTTTAACAGAGATGATGTATGATGTAATTTTGCAGTTGAAATATTCAGGGTATTAAACTGTTTTTGCAAATTATGATTTTAAGTGAAATTGAGGAAACAAAATTTAGTACTCAAAAAAAAAAAAGTAAAATCTTCCTGTACATTATTTTCTTTAAAAGGCAAGAATGTTTAAATTTCTTTTTACATTGGCAAAAGATCCTCATAATACTTAAAGTCAATTTCCTGGATGATCTGCAAACTTTACAAATTTGCAATGCACTAAAATGCCACAGCTTCTCTGTTCTTTGAAGGAGACTTGTGGAAAGAATTTGGTAAATTTAGGAATTAGTAAAAATGTCAGACTAGAAAACTCACTCCTGGCCCCTAACAGATGTGTGTCCCTTTACGGGACTAAACATCAAGATACGTGTCTACACATTCAAGCCCTCTTCACTCAGAGTACTGAAAAGCAAGGTATCTTTTTTTATAGCTATAGTTTTTGTGGCTAAATTATGAAGACAAACATTTCTCTGACAGGGAATTACTAAAAAAGACTTGAATTTAGATCTATGGTTCTCATAAGAGGGGAAGGAAAGTCAGCAGCACAATCTTCAAGGGGCTTTGTCAAAAGAAACACTCTCACATGCACCCTCTTTCCAGTTGTCAGTCCAGGGCCAAAGGTGGAGGAGGACCTGGAGTGTGTGGTGTTCCCTCAGGTAGTGAGAGGGGAACGGTGACAATGACACAGAAGAACAAACACAGAAAACGGTTTTCGTAGCAATAAGAAAGCAGTCTGAAAAAAATGAGCATTCTCGTCTTGGTTTTTATTTCTTTTACAAAAGAATTGTTTTAAAGCTTTCTTACAAGATTTTTTTTGAAAAGACGTAAATGATACGTGGGAGATGAGAATAATGTTTCGCTAATACAATGGCATTAAAGTAAACAATATTTCAGGTGCCAAACAGCACACAAGGCACACTAAGGCCAGAATCCCCTGGACTAATCACTTCCATTCTCTCCAACGTCAGTATTCCTGGTTGTGGAAAACAATCTGCCTGAACTGCTATCTTTTTCCGCATCCAGTTCGGTGGCCTCCTTCCAGGTAGTTGCCAGAGGCGTCCCAAGGGTTTCTGGAAGCTTTAGTGTTAGCAGTCCACTCACAAAGGCCAAAATCCCAGTGAGCAACTAGGAGGAATTTAAAAAATCATAATAATAAGTGACACGTGAAGAAAGAAATGTACCCTTCAGAGTATAATAATTCAGAACTTTTTTCAGAGGGCAATAACAGAATTGAGTTAGACGTAACAGTTGTCATTTTTATTCCCTGGTGAGACCTTTGGTTACATAGGCTCAGCTGGGAGTTCTTTAACTCATCAACTAGGCTTAATCTGAGCATTCATTCATTCATTCATTCATTCAACATTGTGGAGCACCCACTCAATAAATCCCAGTTACTGCCTACATTATCACTCTTTCAGGCACTGTCATAGGAGCTACACAGAGAAAAACGTCCTTGTCCCCTCTTCCCAGACTCCAGAGTCTTGTGGAGAAACCTGGCAACTGAGCCTTGGGTTGGGACTTGATGGTCAGGGACTGTCTTGGTCAACCCTGTACCTGACCCCCAAATCGGCATGCTGTCAGCACTCACTAAATGATGGGGAATTAAGGAATGCATACCTGTGTATACGAATGAATGTTTCAGTGAACCAAAACCTACAGAATTTAAGGGAAACAAAACAAGTGCAATAAAAACTAATTGCTACTTTGGGGGGGAGGAGGAAAGTCTATCTGATTTCCTATAAAAAGCAGTATATATTTTTACTTTCTAGATTTTGACACATAAAAGGCAACTTTTTAGACTAGCACCAAGGTGTTTGTCTTTAAAAATTCAAATCACATTAAAAATTAAAGTCTACATATCTATTCTCTATTGATCGTTATGAAGATGTTGGGTGGATTTTAGAACTAAATCTCTGTACAGTCCTTAAACAATGTGTTCATCCTTACATAATTTAAATTCCTCTAGCAAAAAACACTGCCTGGGGAGAGCCCATAAAAATGACCCAAGGCATGGTTTTCCTGATAGGTGTACATACCTGGTGCTCTTACAGCCTCTGAGAAGGAGAAACATGAAACACACAGAGCCACTGTGACGTGACGTGAGGCCACATCTGTAACAGATGTGAGCTAGAAAGTCAGCTTTTTATTTTGTTTCGCACAATGCTGGGAACCTAATTCTTAGAAAAATCAGGAGTAAGCCTGAAAGCAGTAGTAGAATTTAAAGTGACATTCCAAAGGAATTTAAAGGCGTCTTCTGAGGTCTCGGAATGTAGCAGAAATAGCCACTGATGTACAAACCCCAGACGAGCCCTATGTTAGGGTCTGGCAAACACTGAATAAGTGTAAACAAGAAACAGAATCAAATCGAAGATCCAAGACGGGGCTGGGTTTTCTTTTTAGCTTAGAGGTAAGAAGAATTGTCAGGAAATAAACAAACACATAACCCTCCATTCTCCCCTCACTTCAAGCAGAAGACCTGCTTTCCTGCCTCCCTGGCCAGCTCCCTCCACCCCACAAATGTCCCAACGATGCCCCCTCCCCACCCTGCCCTCCTCCTGGCCAGGAGGAGCCTTTCATCCTCTCCAGACCCCAGGACTCTCACTTCCTCCTCCTCCTCCTCCTCCTCCTCCTCCTCAGGTCTCCTTCCATTAGCCTACCTCCCTCCCTCTCACATATTTTTGAACTTTTCCTTTCCACTGGCTAGTTTCCCTCAGTAAAAATAAAAGTTCTTAAGCCTCTTATAATCTCCAAAACCACTCTGCCTGGTAACTTGCTATCTGTGCGGCCTTGGGCAAGTCACTTAACTTTTCTGCTCCTCAGTTTCCTTATCTGTAAAATTGGGATAATAATAGTACCTGCCCCCCCCCCAAGACTGTTGACAAGATTAAATTAAATAACACGTGTAAGGCACTTAGGAAGTGCTTGGCCCCTGGAAAGCAGTCAATAAATGCTATCTTTTTAAAACAAGCACAAGAGGCCTCTGCCTCGGCCCACACCCACTGCAGCCTCTGGCACACCCTCTCCACGGCTGTCACCGCCTCCCTTTCTCAGTTCTCCTTCTGTCCTGCCCTCTGCAGCCTAGCCCACTCCCAGCACCCATAGAAGCTGCTCTTCCTGGGCCACAGATTCCTGGCTGCCAGCTCCAGTGGATGTGTCCCTGTCCTGCTCTTTCTTGGCCACTGTCCTCTCCTGCTTCCTCACCTCCTCTCCCCCTCTGGGGTCCTGGGTACCTCCCCGCCTCCCTGGCTACTGCACCTGTCCCTGCCCTAGACCCTTCCTCCATCAGTCTCCCTCACTCTTTCCTCGCCTCTGTATAAGCTGACTCCCAAATCTGTACGTCCAGCATGGCTGTCCCCTAAGCTCCCGCCCTGTAAAGGCATTTGCCTCCTGGACGCATCCCCCGGTGCCCATCCTACAGGGCCTCACACTCATCACGTACTGCCCTTCCCCACCTCAACCCTTTTCCTCCTCCTGGGCTCCCTCCAGCCCCAAGAACCACTCTAGCATCCCTCAAGCTCCCCCACTCCACCATATCCAACTGGACACCAGGTCCTATGGATACAACTTTTCCATCCTGTCCTCTCAAACCCACCTTTAGTCCAAATGCTCTTCCTGTCTGACCTCCCCTGAGACCGCCGCCCATCTTTCCAGACTTATCTCCTGGCTCCTACAACCCACCTTGTAGCAGAGCAGCTTGCTCCCAAACCCAAACTGGCCATGTTCCTGTCCCCCTAAGCCTCTGCCTTTCTGTTCCCTCTGCCTGGAATTCCCATTTCTCCTCCACCAGGTTCTTACTGGCCCCTCCAGATACAGAGTAAAGGGCCCCTCCTCCAGGAAGCCTCCCCTCTGGCCCTGGGTTGGAAGGCCTCTCGTATAACCACATAACCCCAGCATTTCCCCACTATAGCCCTCATCTCTGGGGCTTGTCATGGTTTGCTCTTCTGCCTTCCCCACCACACTGAACATCTCTCAGGACGGAGGCTGTTTCTTTCATTTCTGCTCCTTAGCACCTAGCAGAGAGGTTAGCTCAAAAGCAACAGTCACTAAACTTTTGCCAAATGCATTGAATATATAACAATGATATGAATTAGGTGTCCACTTTTATTTAGATTACTAGAAAATAATGGTGATAATAAAAGCATCAGAATAAGCGATTTTCATGTGCATCTTTTCAAAAGAGAAAATATAAACTTATCTTCTAGATTAGGGTTTCCTTTCCTCAAAATGGAAACACTGTCTTGCTAGGCAGTTTGACCTCCATAAATAAGCTTAATGAGAAATCGAATAATCTATTTTTTTTTTACTCATTAAAAACAACAAGCAACATCTGTTGCCTCCAAAGGAAGCACATTCACAGAATATTTCTGCAAATATACACAAGACCCTGCTGACACGGGCGTCTAGGGTTAGGGGGACTGGGGCGGTCAGGGTCAGGGTGGAGGAGGAACTTGTTTCTCTGCAGTCACTTTTGTACTGTTTGTACTATGCAAAAGGCATGGCACTGGGGTTTGAATCCAGGCTGTCACCTTGAAGGTGTGTGACTTGAGCTAATAATGACTTTCTGTAATGTCTCCATATCTGTAAAATAGGGATAGCAATAAACAATATCTGCTTTCTATGAAGACTAATTTTTGTAAAGCACTGAAAACAAAGCTTGTCACATAGCAAGTATGGTTTAAGTACCTGTTAAATAAAATGAAAAATCCTTTTTAACTCTTTAACATAGTCCTTATGATGTCCTTACAACCAAAAGTATTTTATATGGTTTTAGTAAATTTATAGTAGTTTGCTTTTATAAATTTATCTATCTTTCTCTGTGTGTTTCAGCTTATTCTCTAAAAAACAACCTTTCCTATTTTTATCTTTTATTTAATGAGGAACATCAAGTGTTAGCACAAAGGAGAGGCTTCTAGAAAAGTCCATACCCTAAAATGGGCAGTGGCCTTCCAAAATCACCTCCCTGTGAAGGCCAGACAGCCCGTATCATTTCTCAACCTCAGGGTCAGCGCATGAAAGAGGCTGGCATTCCAATTCCCCAATCAAGCAAACTTGGCTGAGCATCGATTCTGGGATGTAAGAGAGATGTCCGTGCCAAGCCAGTGATTACACTATGTGTGTAAGGTGATTTTAGGTCGTATCAAACACTTTGCTTTATTACTTGTGAGGTTCTGTTAGTGCATTTTACAAAAAGATATAACTAGCATAATACTCACAGTTTCACTGTTATTATTGTTTAGGGCAAAGCTAAATTTAAAAAGCTAGTCTATTTGACTTAAAACATTAAGCCAATTATAACATGAGTGGCACATAACATGAAGAAATGCTTTGCTAGACCCAGTGGTGGGGATACAAAATGTCCTCTCCTGCAAGAGTTCAATGGTTGAAACTAGGGGGATAAGAACATACACGCAAATAATAAAGCCAGACTGTGACTGTGGGCTGTGAAAGGGGCACACACAAAATGCTTCACAGACATGGGAAAGAGAGTCGTTGGCTCTGAGTGGCCTTCTTGGAGAAGTGGGGTTTGCTCTGCGTCTTTAAAGATACACGATGGCGGTACCTCATCTAAACTCTTATAGTGTTTGGCCCCCCACCGGTCGTCCGGCACAGGCAATGCGGGAGGACAGACTGGGAAGGAGCAGGTGACTCCACTTGGGATCTCCTTTCCCCAGCTGTGGAGTCACAGCCACTAAAGCACCCAGACAGCCTCATCCGGAAAGAGCCTGGAGAGACAGCTGGTGTTCACCAAGCCTGGGAAGACGCCATAAGAGGGACTGCGTTGTGTCAACGGCCCTGGATTTCCTGGGAGTCCTGGGAAGAAATCACTGCCTTGAGTCATCTTCTAGTTCTGGGAGCCCTTCAAGGCTCTGTCCCAAATGGAGCTCAAGCTCCTGAGATGTTTGAGTCCTAACAGTTCTTGGATTTACCTCCCAAAAAGAAAAAAGAAAAAAAATCTATGTCTGTCTATCTATCTATCTCTATCTATCATAAAATATGATTTAAGTATTAAAGAGGCATAAAATGCATGCATAGTTTAAGAAATGATTATCAAGCAAAAACGTCCCACTCTTGATCACTCGCAACACTGCGCTGCTTGCACCCCAGAAGCCTCTTCCCCCCTCCTCCACAGTGTCCTGATTTAGGAGATGGGAGAAAAGCACTCTCTATGGAGGGGATGTTTAGGTGAGGCAGAGGAGGAGAGTGGGTCAGGGTGAGTGAGAACAGAGTGAGTGTGGAGAGGAGGGGGAGGTGTGTGAAAAACCAAAGCAAACTAGGGAAGGTGGGCAGGGGTTCGATCTGGAAAAAACTTGAATTGAATCAGGCAGAGTTTGGGTTTTATTCTGAAGGGGAGAGGGCAGTTGGAGCAGAGCTGTGGTTCAGCAAACTATTCTGATGGGGTGGGGGTTGGTGTTCAGGACAAAGACCTAGAAGGCGGAAGCTGATGAGGGAACGGAACCGGAAGTAGGCAGCCTAGGGTGGTTTTGAGAGAGAGAAGGTGAGGACACAGAGTCCTGGATTGGGAGGAGAGGGGGAAAGAAGAACAGGGCAAGTAAAAAGCTGATGCTGAATAAGTAAATAAATAAATAAATAAGCAAATAAACAAACAAATAAATAAATAAAAAGCTGATGCTGAAATGTCATGCTTAGGAGGCCACTGACTCCTAACCCAAAATGGGAGACGGAAGAGGAGGAAATTTAAGGCACCAACCAGTTTGGTTTGGGAAACAGTGAATTTGCTGTAAGGCATTCAGGGAGAATAATCCATGAGGCTGGTGGAAACATGGGTTTGCAACTTGGAAGAGAAGTCAGAACTTAGGAGAGGTTGTCTATGCAGGGGATGGGAAAGATAGCCAGGGTGGCTCTTGGAGAATGAGTCTATTTAAGGGGCAATCAGAAAAAGAAAGCAGAGCACTGAAGGAGACCAAGAGGGAACAGCCTAGAGAAAGCTACAGCAAAAAAGTTTGGGAGAGGCGGCTTGGAGGAGGAGGAGGAGGGCCAGCAGACCCAGGGCTCCCCTATAAGCCACGGCAGCATCTGGGGCTGACCCCAACACCCCAACACCCTCCGCCCTCCCCAATCCCTACTGCCCCACCCCTCCCTGTGTCCCATCCTCCTCCTGACCACAGGGTCTTGCTAAACCCAAGTGTAACAGTGCTCCACGTGATTTCTCAACCTCTCAGCCCCCACATGAGAAAATCTGCAAACTGAACGTAACTGCTCTTACTCTTCATAACCAGACAAACAGCCACACTACCAGTGCCAGAAGGAAGCGATTTTTTTTATGTCTGAAAACCACAGGTCGCCCCAACCTCTCTGTCAGGCACCACAGAATCCTTCAAGGAACAGGCAGCCTCTAGAATTCTTCGTGACCCGCAGGCACACAGTAGGAAGGCAGAGGCAAGAGGCTGGGGGCCGGCCGCAGCCTGTGGATCCAAGTGGAGGAGCAGAGGCTATGCTGGGCCAGGTGATGGAGGCAGGGCACTGAGAGACTACAGAGACCACGGCTCTCCCTGTGTGGACCCAGCTTCATGATATGGGAGAGGGCAGGCCAGTGTCTGGCAGGCAGAGTTGTAATGCACAGCTCACTGGTAGCTGGAAGGCCATGGACCACCAAGAAAACAGTGGCCACCATCCTACTTGCCGACTGGTGAGCTGTTAATAAGATTTCTACAAACCTTCATCATTGAATTATAAATTTGCTTCCCATAAATAAAAACATAGAAGGCAATTAGCTGATGTGCCTCTCTGCTAGCTCTGCTAGCTTATAAGGTTCTATAAGCTGATTATCACCTGGGGCATGAAGATCCAAACGCTGGAGAGGTAAATGCAGAATGGAGCTATGATGCTTCCCACACGGCACACCATGTTGCCGCTTCCCACAGCCTGCGTCCTGAAAACACGAGGAGTGGTAAGATAGACAGCAGCGAGAACAAAGACAAGCCGAACATGATGACACAACAGAGAGATGGAACGACCTCCTGTAGCCCCTGCCTACCCTCCCAGATGAGAATAAACAATCAAACTTAAGCTTGGCTTAATATACTTGCAAATAACTTTGCTCTAACTTTTCAAGAATCGCTAGTGATTTAGATCCACATTCTGTGAAACAGGGGTATATACAAGCATGTATTCAAGCGTATTCAAGTATATTCCAGACCAAGAAAAGGGTAAACCATTCTTCATCTGGTATGCAGTTGAGGCCCTCATGTATATTCATTCAGTCTAATATTGAGGGTAACGTCAATTTTCTAGAGCAGGAATTTGTTTGGGGTAGGAAGTGGGAACTTTGGAGACAAAAGATTTATATCTATAAAACATTTTATCTTATTTTTTAAAGTCAAGCAATATCTCAATGTGCTTTTCTTTAAAAGTTATTTAAAGAAACCTTACAGACTGTCTAGCAGGAAGGAAAGAGTGTGCTTTTAATGCTAATAATATCTTTTCATAAGCCAAGCAGTGAGGCCCCAGGGGAAAGCAAACCTGCCAAACACCTTGATCTTGGGCTTTTAGCCTCCAGAACTGTGAGAAAATAAATTTCTGTTGTTTGAGCCACGCAGTTTGATGTTTTGTTATGGCAGCCCCAGCAAACTAATACAACTGACTCCAAACATTCAGAGATATACCCTGAGAAAATTAAGTCAGTATAAGTCGATTATATTCAAGATTATATTCAAATGGTTTTAGCATAATAGAGCGCTATTTCAAAACATTTTTTTCTTTTTTTCTTTTTTTTAAATTGGGGAACAGCCATGATCATTGGTTACACATTGCTTTCATGCTGCAATGACATAGTTGACTCTTTTAGGGAGTGCGCAGCTCACAGTGGCTCATGCGGGGATCAAACTGGCAACCTTAGTGTTATCAGCACCACACTCTAACTAACTGAGCTAACTGGTCACCCCCAAAACAATTTCTTTAATATCCTTGCTAATGAGGTATAGACAAAGCCTCAGATTCAGAATTAGCATCATCATGTAACTTTCCCATATCTCAGAGCTCCAGGAATGTCTATGAAAATAAAGCACGTATACTCAAAGATCAAATATAATGAAATGACACATACGTGAAAGATAATGGGAGAACCGCAGAAAAATAAGTAACTCTTACCTTATCATGGTTGGATACAGCTCTGCAGTATAAAGGTAAATGAGGCCAAATGCTGCCCCAATGGCAAATTTTCCAGCCATAGTCGTCACCACACTCCAAATGTAGTAATCCTGTAAAAAAATATAAGCAGAATTGACCATCATAAGTAATACTTTTTCAAGAAAAATAGAAAAATTTTAAACTTATTACTTAAAACTTGCTAATTCTCCAGTACTTTTCAGGACTCAACGAAGAGTTTTATTTTTCTGTTTGAATTTATTTTGTAAACTCTACTCATGGTATGCAACAGCTTTCCATCTTTATGAAATTTAGAGAAAAGTTCTATTGTGCCCCTCCCAGCCTTGGAGATTTCAAATTACCAAATAAGAAAAGAATAGCTCTTGGGGAGACTACTTTGGGATGAGATACTTCCAGACATGCTGGTTCCACGAATAATTGACCCACTCATTCTGGAACTGATCCAGCAGAATAAATCAAAGAGCCATAAAAATAAATTGTGTCCTTTGCAGTAGTAATCCTGTGGCTTATAAATTATTCTCAGAAAATAATTTGAAAGTAATAACTGAACTATGCATCCAGACTTCCCCCAGCCCCCCCTTTGGCTGATGCATGCCTCAACAGCAAAACCTCTCCATGCTTCCAGCTGAGTTTCTGCTTTCCCTATTGTGCCCCACTTCCAGTCGTGGCTCACAAAGACCTCCCATATTCCATCTCTTCTCTCCCCCTCATCTGCCAGCTGGATGTTGAGACCCAGGTGACCTTGGAGTTCATATGTTGAGGATGGCCGCGCCTCTATCAACCTGAGTCCCTGAATAGACTCCATGGAGCCAAACACTCCCTCACCACTCCCACTGCAACCAACCAGGTACACCCATATCGGACTTTCTATGAGCAAGAAATAAATGTCTATTATGTGAAGTCACTGAGATGTGGGAATGCTTCTATTGAAGCAGCCAATGTCATCTTGTCACCTTAATTACTATTGTAGACAGTATTTGTTGAATGAATTTAATGTGACAAACATTTTTTCGTATGGTGTTGGCATTACCATTTGGGAAGAAATTTGTGGTTAGGGGTTAGTGCTCTGTTTCTAGAAATCCCCATCAGCTACTATCCTGTCTTCCACATTACTGCTGTGGCTTAACCACTATATCAGGTTCCCCTCAGCCTTCATCAGCTCAAAGGCAGCTGCCATCAACTCAACAGATATCACTGCAAACTACTTTAGAACACAAACAAAACCAGGTATGCATGAAGCTCCCTCAAACTGGCACAGACCTCCTCCTCCTGAGTAGCTGTATTGCATTCTTATCAGCTGTATATCAATCACCTGGAAATTTCAGTGACATAAAACATTTGATTCACCAACCCTGATAATTAAGTGAAAATAAAAGGAAGTCACAGGTTCGCTTAAATTTCAAACAATATGTAAAAGTTAAAATACTTTGCTCTAACTACTGAGATACTATTGCTTAATAATTATATAACTGCTGGAGAAACTATATAAAATATTTTAAATATTTTATATATAATAAAAATTTCTATATATTGGGTTGTCGGAAAAGTCATGACGTATTTTTTCTATGATTTTCATTGCAAAAATGTGTCATGACAACCCAATATATAATATGAAATAAATATTGTTATTGTGACCATATTTTCCAAATAAAGAATGAGTATACAGGTTGTAACAACATTTTGGGTGGGGGCTAAGAGGAAGAGTACTTCTGGATGCAAGAGGTATTCTAGGGGATCGGGTTGGCCAAAACATAGGAATTTGAAAGTCATTTCCATAGTTTATGGCAGTGTTTCTCGCTAAGAAACAGCATTTTTAAAAACAAGCTCCTCGGGGGATTTATGCATACTAGAAATTGGCAAATACTAATCTACCACAGTGAAAAACAAGACTATTTAAATAGGAACAACCCTAAATATGGGGTTCATTTTATCCCTCAGATGTTTCCATGTCTCCCCCGTCCTTCAGGTTTCTGGTCAAATGTCACCTTCTCTGAAAGGCACACCCTCCTTGGCCGCCCTAGATAAAATAAAGTAGAATATACGTGTGCCTCCCCCACAGACACAGTCGTTCTCTATTCCTCATTCTGTTTTTTCTTCATTATATCTACAGGAACTTGATTCACTGTGTGTCTTCAGCACCTAGAACAGCACCTGACACATAGTAGACGTTGGATAGATTTTTGATGAATGAGTAAATGAATGAATGAATGTTGGGAAGGCATGATCTACTTTCCTCACTCAAGAGTATTGTGTTTACAAAATACAACACTGGCCATCTCTGGGAGGTGGGATTATGGGCATTATTTTTAAATTTTTTTTCTTAAATTTTCTACAACGCACATGTACTACTTATATAACAGAGAAAGAATGCTTTTTTAAAAAAGAAAACATATTTTTAAATGTTATGTATATCCTCTGTCCATATGTCTGAATTGATCTTCATACTTATTGCAATAAGCTAAAAATTCTCCCATCAAACTATCACAGTATAATTAACCATTCCCTAAATAAAACATAAAATAACTCACCTTGGGGATTACCATAATCACACCACAGAAAAGTGCACCTGAGATAAGGGAGAACATCAGAACATTTCGTCTCCCCACAATGTCCATCCCCAAGCATACGAAGATATAGGCAGGAATTTCCACCGCACCTGTCATTGAGCAAAAGGGCCCTCTGTAAGCCATCGTGTCCAGCTGTCGAGGGGACCTCGCCTTCTAACCCATAGCCCAAAAGGAATGATCACCCACATCCCTGCTTGCAGGGTCCTCTAAGAACTATCCAACAACTGCCTGAGAGGCAACAAGCCCCACCCCTTTTAAGCTCTCTGGAGGAGGTTTCCTGGGAAACTCACTAATGCTCACATAATCCACCCAGCACTTATCACCTGTCCTAGAAATCTTATCCCCTACTAAACTGTAAACTGCTCAGGACACAGCATGGTGCCTGGGGGACTAGGCCTGTTAGATGAATAAATTAATCAATAGGCAACATTGATAATACCTGATCTTTGGTTTCTTATGCTTCACAGCATAAGGGGGAAATTTTTGTTATCAATTTCTTCAAACTTAGAAACTGAAGTAGAAAATTCAGTATCAGCTAAGTACATAAACTAATGATGACTGTTTAATGGATTTTAAACCTACAAGTTAATATTTTAAAATCTAATGTGAATCATCCACAGAACAGGGTCTGACCCTGCTTTGTTCTGGGCCTCTTTTTAATCCCCCACAACAAAAACTAAAGAGCTGAATCCCTAAGTGATGGAAAAGCCCTTCCTTTCAAGAACCAAAGTTTGAATCTTGGCTCCAGAACAAAAAAGCTTTATTATCCATCAGCCAGAACGAAACAGGGAGCAAGCAAGATCTCTCAGCAAAGCTGAGCGAACCCAACAATCTCCTTTGGGAAACAGTCACTGTTCACCAGCCCAGATTGTCCACGTAACTCAAAGTTCTGTTCTTTCCTCCCTCTGTGGTTTGTCTAATCTCAGGACACTACCCACCACTGCCTTTTAGGAGTGATGTGCGTTTTTCTATTCATCTATGGAAGGTTACAAACACCAAGAGAGGCAGGTCTGGGTCTATATGTCTCCCATAGCTTCTGGAACCCATCTTAAGGGATAAATATATATTTTCTGAATGAACATTCTTCGTAGTACATCAGAAATTAACCTCAGTTGCAGCTGCTTAGAAAAGAAACTGGCTCAGGCAAATAATAATGATAACAACAACAACAACAACATTCTGAGCCCCATTTGAGAGACAGCCTCTCTCTCTCTCTCTCTCTCTCTCTCTCTCTCTCTCTCTCTCTCTCTCTCTCTCTCTCTGTCTCGCTCTCGCTCTCGCTCTGGCTCTCACTCTCGCTCTCGTTAATGTAAGAAATAAACAGCTCTGGAGGAAACATCTTCCTTTCACAGACCCTGCTGTAAAGTCCATGCTTCTGGACCAGGTCAGTAAGTATATATATTCCTCTCCTCATTTTTTTTTAAGAGTTTACCAAGCACTTTTCAAGATCAAATAAGACAGTGATCTTCGAAAGAGCCTCATGGGAGTAGACCTGGATTATTATCCCTACTTGACAATTGAGAGTAAATGATTTGAGCCAAATGAGTAAGCTCAGGGACTGGAAGCGAGGGCTTGGTGAGCCAAGGCCCCTGCCTGCAGCCTCCTTTCCCCGCTGCCTCCCTCCACATCCTACTCAGAGCTCTCCCCAGTACGATACTGTGTGTAAAGCCACCAACCAACCTCCTGGAGTCTAGCAAAGCTGGGCGGCAACTGTGAAACAGCTGAAGAGACAGTGAAAGTAGACTATGCTGATTTTTCTTAAGTTGTTGCTTCAGGATATTGACTTTACATCTAATTTTTGGCTTGACTATGTGTGGGATAGACATGGGGCAAGCAATGAGGCTCAACCCTCTGGGGATTGGACAATGGGCCATTACTTTCTTCACTTTATAATATATAATCTCTCTAATCATTCAGACCCCATTCCACTCCTATTTCCACGTTACCCCAAAGGTATGTCTTGAAGCTATTGACGCATTTATCACATGCAGGTGGCACAAAACCAGAGCTGAAATTCCCACCAGCCCTAAACTAAACCATCTCAGGAGATGAAAACTTGTTAAAAAATTTCACAGCATGGAAGTATGGACTAGAAATACCTGTCAGCAAGAGAACTACTGGGAATGGTAATGACATGAAAAATCCAAGACAGTAGAGAATATAAAGCCATGTGTATTTGTCTTGGAAACACTTTTATAGTTATGAAATTGACCAGTTTCTTGAGAATTTTTATTTCCATCAAAATTAAGAAACCATATCATAAATATCTAAAACTCCAGCTTTCCTAAAGCTTCCCCAGGCCACACCCCATCCCCACTTTACTCTCCTACCATTTGCTGCACTGTTCTAGGAATACTGCATCGTTTCTCAAATTGACATTTAGAATGGTTTGAAGTCAAGATAGGCTCTTTCTACAAACTTATTGGTTTGCCCAAAAAGAGAGTAAGGTTTTTCTTCTTAAAATCACTTCTCTCATAATTCCTGCTGAGCTATAACAAAAAAAATATTATAGATGTGTGATCAGAGCACTTTGATGAAAACGGATGTCATCTATGTATAAAAATTTTAAAGCAAGATTTTCCGAGGATAATATCATGGGTAGCCTACATGGAAACAATCAGGAGCTAAGACTAGATGAACAAATGCAGATTTCTACTACTTCTGTTTGATATGAATTTGGTTTACCTTAGGAGTCACACCTAAAGCTACCACAGCAATATCTGAAGCAAATTTTAACCTGCCACTAAAATGAAAGAAGCATGACTACACAAATTATAGTCACACGTGTTTAAGTTATTTTACTGACTAAAATTTCTAAAGTAAGGACATTTAAAGAAAGAAAGAAGATCTCTAAGACATATTACATTTTAAAAGGAAAACAACTTGCAAAGAGCGATTTGTAGTAAATGATCTAATTTATGTTAAAATAGAAACATTCATCTGCACAAATATATAGAAAATCATAGAAAGAGATCTGAAAGGGCACAAAGCCAAATGTTATAGAAGTTACCCCTGAAAGAGGGCTCTGGGATGAGGATGGGCTTAAAGAAAGGAGGCAAGCAAGGAGAAGAGGCAGAAAAGGAAGGAGGGCCTAAATTCTTCTGACTTCACATTTTTAAAAAGAAAACATCTACATGTGTTACAGTCTAATAACACTAAAAGACACCCTAATAATACAGTTGGTAGTATTGTTCCTGGTAGAAAAAAAAAGACAATAAAAACGCGGTAGAAATTTCACTTCACTGTTACACTGAAATATAATTGAACTACTTACCCATGAGAAAGAGGTTTAAATATTCATTGCCTCCTAAATTAACAGAATTCAAAGAGAAGCAATAGAATCCCAAACACCCCGTGAACCAAACCAGCCACACAATAAGTGTCCTTGTTCCAATATTCCAGTCATAAAACAGATCTACTAGGTTGGACTTCTTAACTTCAGAAGGCTTATCACCAACAGCACTGTACAGGTCCAGTGATAAAATTTCTGACAGCTTACAGGGGCTAGCCCTATTCCACTTGGCCATCTTATCAACTACTACTTGTGCTTCTTCATATCTTCCCTCTGAGAGAAGCCAAAAAGGTGTCTCTGGTACCATCCAGCAGCACAAGACAAAGGGGAGAGTCACTGTGGAGAGGATTATCTGATAGATCCACCAGGTCCTGGCCAGGTAGCCCGTCAAAGCCACCACCATTGTTCCAATCGCAAAAAAGGAATGTATTTGGATGGATGCCCACGTCCGAGCCTTCATGCCGATAAATTCTGTCACATAGACAAACACCACCACAAGATAGCCACTTGCAACCTGAAAAATAAAGGGGGGAGGGTGGTCCAGATTTAAGGTCATGTTTGTAACTACTGACGGGTCTGATCTCTGTAAATCACACATAGGCAAGAAAGAAAATGACAAAGAATTGCTTTCCAAAACTCACATCACATTTATAAAAGGGCATTTAATCCAATCCATCCTTCTTCTTTAAGTGGGTCCTTTCATCTACTCCCAACTTCTCTACCCCCAATTTCAAAACTTGAGAGGTATGTATGAATAAATGTTAGACACTGCCTTTTGTTTCACTTAAATATTCCCTTATAGTGTGAATTTCTTTCTCAGTTCTTTGTGTGCATATCAAGTTATCTGTATGCAGGAGGTCCTTATTATTACATCCTAAATTTTAAACAGGGACAAAAAAATTATGGTAACTAGTGGGAAGAAGAAAGATTTGATGAAAGCTTTGACAGTCAACAAAGAAAACATAGACAAATTGGACTTCACGAAAATTTAAAACTTCTGTGCAACAAAGGACACTCACTACCACCAGAGTGAAAAGGCAATCTACGGAATGAGATATTTGCAAATCACATATCTGATAAGAGATTATTATCCAGAATATATAGAGAACTCAAAACCCAAGCAATCCAATTCAAAACAGAGCAAAGAACTTGGATTCCTCTAAAGAAGATATACAAATGGCCAATAAGCACATGAAAAGATGCTCAACATCACTGATCACTAGGGAAATGCAAATCAAAATCACAATGTGATACCATCTCATAGCCATTAAGATGGCTACTATCAAAAAGACAGAAAATAAGTATTGGCAAGGATGTGGAGAAATTGGAACCTTTGAGCACTGTTCATGGGAATATAAAATGGTGCAGCCACTAATGAAAACAATATAAGAATTCCTCAAAAAATTGAAAATAGAATTAGCATATGATCCAGCAATCCCACTTTGTGTATATACCCAAAAAAATAGAAAGCAAAGTCTCAAAGAAATATTTGTACATCCATGTTCATAACAGAATTATTCACAGAAGCTGAAATGTGGAAACAACCCAAGCACCCATTGACAGATGAATGGATAGCAAAATGTGGTATGGACATACAATGGAATATTATTCAGCCTTAAAAAGGAAGGAGGAAGGGTATTCTGACATATGCTACATGAATGAACTTTGAGAACATTATGCTAAGTGAAATGAGCCAATCACAAAAAGACAAATACTATTGTATATGACTACATTTATATCAGGTACCTAGAGTAGTCAAATTCATAGGGACAGAAAGTAGAATGGTGGTTGCTAGAAAGAGAATGAGGAGCTATTGTTTAATGGATACAGAGTTTCAGTTTTGCAAGATGAAAGAGTTCTGGAGATGAATGGTGGTGATGGTTGCACAAGGATATGAATGTATCTAACATCACTGAACTCTACATTTAAAAATAGTTAAGATGCTGGACCGGCCGAGTGGCATGTTGGTTAGGAGTTGGCTTGGGACGCCAGCTCTGAGCAGCAGGGCCCCTGTTCAGATCCAATATGAGGGCCAGTGAGGCTGCACCCTCTACAGCTAAGATTGTGAACAATAGCTGGACCTGGAGCTGGGCTGCCGTGAGTCGCCTGTGATGGCGTAGGCTGCAGTGGGGCTGGCCGGCAGCAGGTGTGAGATTTCGCTGCCGTGAGCCGCCATGAGCTGCCGGGCCAATGGCCAGCGTGCAACTGCCTCACCCAGGAAAAGCGTAATGATAATACCAACCCGGGCCAGTGAAGCGACGTCCTCCACAACTAGACTGAAGAACGAAAGACAGCAACTTGTCTGTTCCCCTCCCCCAATTCGCCAATAAAATCTTAAAA